ATGAAGGGGAGCTGCCAGCTTTGCAAAGCCCTCCACAAAGCGACGGTAATGCAAATGCAAAGCCCAGGAAGGACCGGAGCTCAGAGACTGTCTTGGGAGGCTGCCATTTTGCCACGGCCTCTATCTTGGATGGATATGTGGAGACACCATTAGCAGAGATTACATGGCCCAGATAACGCACCTCTGGCCGGAAGAAGGCACATTTGGAGAGCTTTGCCTTTAGTCCCTCCTGCTAAAGCCGAGCCAGTACCGCATCATCCGCTCAAGATGCTGCTGTACAGTGGAAGAGAACACAACAATGTCATCAAGGTAAAGAAGTAATGACTGGCCCTGTTGATCACCAAAGATTCTCTGCATTAATCTTGGAAAGGTACTGGGGGCGTTACAAAGTCCAAATGACTTTCGATTCCATTCGATCAAGCCAAATGGAGTGCAGAATGCAGTCTTGGGTCGATCCTTCTCAGTGACAGGGACCTGGTTGTACCCACTGGCAGGTCCATGGTGGAGAACCAGTGGGCACCTGTCAAAGCATCCAATGACTCCTTTGGCCAGGTCCATGGTGGAGAACCAGCTGCCACCTGTCAAAGCATCCAATGATTCCTCGATGCGTGGCAACAGAAACGCATCTTTCCTGGTCTTTCCATTTAGCTGCCGGTAATCAACACACAGACGCAGACTCCCATCCTTCTTCTTAACTAGCACAATGGGAGAGGCGTAGGGGCTGCTACTCTCTCTGATCACCTGTGCAGCAAGAAGCTGATTAATGTGCTCTTTGACAGCTTCATAATCAAATGGAGGGACAAGCCTGTAACGCTGGTGGACAGGGGTCTCATCTACAAGAGGAATGTCATGAAATATTAGATTGGTGCAACCTAAATCACCATCATGAGAGGAGAAAACAGACGTATACTTCCTAAAGAGAGACCTCACCTGACCCTGCTCTTCTGAGGACAACAAAGACAGAACTAAACCCTTCATCTGATCCTGCACTATAGGTAGGGCTGTCTGGGATGCTACAGTGGCTACCCTGGATGGTACCTCTGTAACTCCTGCAGGTAAGCTCACAACATCCACCTGATCCAGAGTGCCGGTGCGTGGGTATAACAATACCTCGATGTAACCAACGTTAATGATGGGTATGTATGCTGTACCCCTAACCACTCTAACCAGATGGAGAAGCCAGCAGACCAGCAGGTAATCCAGATTCCAGGGGCTCAAACAGCACTGAAACATCAGAACTCCGCTCTGAGCATGTGACCACTACAATTTTTATCACGCCATCTGGAATGCGGTATGCATACTTACCTCTGACCTTTCCCTTTCCTGTCAGCTCTGGAGGGGTCTGTGTGGTCGCTTGATGACACTTCTGAAAAGGCTATGTGATGGGTTGTGGGGCCTGAGCAACAAATGGCAGTTCAAACAATGCTAGCTCATGCTGCACAAAGAGCTCTTGGTAGCATTTTCAGATCACATTCATCCCCATCACACCAGAGATATGAAGGGAAGCATCACCAGGAGGATCCCTCACTACCAAAATGCCGCAGTGGGAGATCACCTTGCCACACAACTCAACATTTAGCTCCAGATAACCAAGGAAAGGAATATCCAACCTATTAGCTGCCCTGAGTTGCAACCAGTTACATGATTTAAGGCGCTCGTGACCCCATGGTTCAAAATGCTCACAGAAAAGCTCTCTGTAACAGTGGAAACCATCAAACCAGTATCAACCAAACATGGCACCTGAACACCTGGCACCTGAACACCTGAAAGCAATGTAGCTGTGGGCTGTCTACGCACAAACTGTTTAAGCTCTCGCTGTAAGGTGCTATCTATGACCTGTTCAACAAACTGATCCCACAACATAACCTCAGAATTGAGCATTCCGGTCGGTGCATGCTGCTTTACCCTTTCCATAAGAATCAAGGCAAGGGAGAATTCCAGTAGTGTTTTTCCTTCATGTTGCTTCCGTGAGAAGAAAGCCTCCTGTAAGGCTACATAAGACTCAGAGCAGCTATAGAGTTCCTGAAGTATAGCAATTATTTTAGCTGGATCCCTACGCTCTACACTAGAGCGGTATTTGAGCTCTTCACGTGCTTCCCCCTCTACATGATCGAAGAGGAAGAAAGACTGATCAGCTAGGGATATGTGACGAGCCCTCATACATACCTGCACTTCCTCAACCCAGCGCTATCCCTGATCTTCCCCTGAACTTGGGGCACTTCCTGTCACGAAGAACAAACACTAACCTTTCTGCTGCAGGGGCGCTGGCTGTAGGCACTGCTGATAAGGTTGAAGGTATGGCACTAGGGGCAAATCCAACAGAGGCCTGCTCTTGATGTAGCCTCTCATTGTCAGCTTTCAACTGTGCAACCAGATCTCGCAACTCTTGCAATTCCTCCTCCATGAGTGCAGATTTTAATAAAGAACTGCTGCTGCTTTGTATTAATGCAAGATACGACGGGAGGACATCACCACCAGGTCACCAGCACCGCCACCACCGGCCTACAGCAACTGAAGAGGAAAAAGAATACCACATTAGTGGGGTTGCACACACATAAAAAAAAGAAAGTACCCAAAACCTAACAAAACTAGTAAATGAGCAAATTACAGGCTTAAACAAAATGATAACTGCCCAAAACAAAAATAAAGAAAACAAAACTCAAACAATTCACAAAACAACTCTGAATTAACAAAATAGAATTACATAAACAAAATCGAGGGTCAACCAAGACACACTATCACAATCACACGTTCACACACTCATTCATTCAGCATAAGGGGGATCAGTCACCAATGGAAAAAAAAAGTGCTTATGCCTGCACCGCCCCTCTTTGAACCGCAACCTTAACGTGGTGGAGGGGTTTGAGTATCCGAATGAACCTAGGAGCTATGTTGTCGGGGGCTTAATGCCCCTGGTAGGGTCTCCCAAGGCAAACAGGTCCTAGGCGACGGAGCAGACAAATAGCGGTTTAAACCCCCCCTCTTGTTGAAGAAAATAATTAAATCAAAGAGGTTTACATCGAGCCAGGCTCCAGTTGGGACTTGCAGGCGAGCGCCTGGTGGCCGGGTCCTTGCTCACG